GTGATATATATATATATTTATATATATATATATATATATATATATATATCTCCAGTTATACCAGTGCGCACAGGCACCGGAGCTGCGCGCTTACCTTCTCCCGCTGGTGAGGTTTGGAGACGCGCGCATGTGGGATGATTTTGGCTGCATAAACTTTGCTGGTGGACAGATCGGTCATCTCATAGCATTTTGCAAACCCTCCCTGGAAATAGGAGAAGAAAAAACACAACTGTTAACGTGCTGTGTCTTCAGAGTGGCTGGTAAATCCAAAAAGTCGACAACAGATTATATGCTTGCGCTACCTTTCCCAAAACTTTTCCACGGCAGTAGCACTTCCCCGTGACAGGATCGGTGATAATCCTGGCCATCTCTGAGGGCGCACTGCGCTCATCCATTTTCTTTCGGCGAGGTTCGCAGGACCTCTGCGTCGATTCACACATGCTGCTGCTGTTCGTTTGCTGGGGCCCGCTACTTCTCTGTACTTCCATTAGCGGTGGTTAGTCGTTCTGCACTCAGACTGCAGCCCGGAGACTCGGTCTCTGAGCCTTTATAGTCTGGCACCCACCCCACCCCGCTGTCTGCCGCCCTCTCTCTGACGTCACGGTGTGAAACGAGAGCATGAGGTCTGCCTGCCTGGTATCGATTACCTTGCATGTGCAAAGGTGTTACTGACGGCACAGAAGTTAAATCAAAGGGGATAAAACAGCGTGTGGCTTCTGTTATGTTATCTAAGAATTCAGATCAGTATTGGCCTCACAAGCCGTCATCCACAACAGACAGATGCTAAAGACAGACATGTTCAGCTGTTTACCTATTCTGCTCATAGTGGCTGGGCAGGTGAATGGACATTTTACATTTTGGTGCAAAACATAATTTAAGGTGTTGGACGTCTGATTCATTTGGTCGATAAAATACCCATTATGCAGAGGACAAACATGATCTGTATTCCATTCAGGCTCACCTCATCCTAGGTTTTTGCACCAAACTCAGTTTGGAGCACTAGCACCCTCAGGTGGAGGATTTTGGATAACATTTAGGGTACTGTGCAAGTCACAAACGTGTTCTGCCTTTGAATCTGTTTACCAAAGACTATAAGTGCATATTGTTTTGAAACCTGGAACCTAACATGTCAGAGACATATTATTATATTAGACTGTTTAGTGCAGTGTGAGCAGAGGTGTCAACGCTGTACAGGTGGTAGTACATTGGCAATTGTAAAGTACGGCTGTATGCAAAAGTTTGGCCACCTCTTGACAAACAAAACATTTTGGTGTTTTGTTTCATTGAACAGATGTAAACACAGCCTCTTGGTGGTATGGAACATGAAACTAAATATTAGCAGCAAACATGCATGCATGCATGCATTGTTTTAGTATATTTCATAAATTTAACAAAAATCTAAAAAATAAAAACATCATTGTGGCATGTAGATGTGGTTTGGGCACCCATCATGGTCACTACTTAGTAAACACACAACCACAAAACATTGCATTCACATGGAAGTTCTTTCTGAGTTTTCTTGCTCTTCCAGATATCATCTTGCCCTCCACAGTTCCCCTAAACTGCCATCTCTTAATTACAATTCCGACTGTGAAAATTGCTATCTTCTTGTAGCCTTCTCCTACATTGTGGAAATCAATAACACAATAACTTAGCCTTACACAGTTGGTCAGAGCAGTGGCTCCCAACCTTTTTCCTTAAGGGACCCCTTTTCTGTCATTTAGTAAACTAACATCCCCTAGCTCAGTGACATTTTATATTTCATATTATATTCAAAACTGTACAATGAACCCAAATAGTGAACTCAGTAACTGCAAGAAATGTGGGTAAAACAAATGATTTGGATGAATTTATAACAGATTATTTCCTGTTTAGGGAACCTTTTATACAATACACCATGGTTGGTGAGTGTTCACACAAGGTTTGAAGAGTCAGAGTATTTGTAAAAGGGTTGAAATTGGCACCAGCTGACGTTTCAAGAATGACAACTGTTCACATGCTTTACAAGCTTATGAAGGTCTAAGATCTTATAAAAAAGAATCTGAGACTGCAGGACTCTGTTTATTAAAATCTATTTTAGTTTTATTGTCAACACATAACCATGGTTCTCAGACTAAAATGCATATTTCTCTATCCAGTTAAATATTCCATATGACCCTCAAGGGTCAGCAGACATAGATAATTATTTTAGACCACCTGTGAGGTGGTTGTGCACAACATCTAAACATGCTGTCCATGTTCCTAACCCTCAGTGGCTCTCTGGGAGACCAATGGAACAAATCTCACAATGGCCTTGAGCTGTAGACATAGGCATTCATTTTTTGAATAAACACAAGTGAACATAACATACAAATGTAATTACAACTCCACAAAAGGAAAGTAGGACGAAACTATGACCCTGACAATCCCTGCTGTAGCTTGCTGCTGAAGAGGTTTATTAGTGTTGATGCGGAAGTAAAATGATTTGTAGTGAAAGAGCTCTTACAAAGGGAGCTAGAGCCATATTGGGGACAGAAGAGCATGATGGTTTTTATAAGACAGTCGGTAATATGGCAAAGGTTCAGTCTGTTCTTACAGTGCAAAGATTAAATACTGCAGGGACTAAGTGATGTCAAAATCATCCTGACATCTTACTTTGACATAGTTCCTCTCATCCTCGCAATGTTCAAAGTCATCTTTGAAAAAGGATCACTCCTGATCAGTGTTCATAACAGACAGATATCACCAATTTATTTAAGTTTGCTGCTTTTATGCCACTATTTGCATAGTTACAGCCAGAGAGAGACAGGAAGTTGGGGAGAGAGAGAGGACGATATGCAGTAAAGGGCTGCAGGTTGGAATTCAACCTGGGCCGCTGCAGAAAGGAATTAGTGTATGGGGGGCACGCTCTACCAGGTAAGCTACCAGGGCACCCCAAAATGTGTTTTTTGTTTTTTTGTTTGTCTTTGTTCATTTCTGGTGTAAGAAAACATTAAAGTTTCTGGAGGGTCTTTGAGGTGGTTCCAGGAGGTCCCCAGAAACATGGGGAATATTTTAATTTCACTCCATTTTCATTGACTAAAAGTTATCCCAATGAGAGAATATATAAAAATTATTATTCTTTCACACTATTCACTGTCAATCTGCCAATCTACAGAATAGACAGTTATGGAAAAACTATTTCTTATCAGACAGGGATTCCTGAGACTACATCTTATCAAATACAGGTACGCAGCCTGATGTGTATCAATTTGGGAGTCCTTGACACCAAATGGAGAGTCACAGCTGTTCTCTACAGCTGTAACAGTGCTGGAAAACAAAACAACCAAGAAACATGTGACTTATTACCCCACTGTGTTTGATACTTTTCTCAGATGTGAGCGCACACTGCTAATGTCATAAGCAAAAGTCTGGTCAAGACCGGAGCCGACAGAAGATTGCTGTGGCCAGTTGGGGAAAGGAAAACGACAAGCAATGACACGCGCATCATCAGGAAGCTCTTTCAAAAGCTTCTCACCCAGCAACTCCATCTGTAAACCAATAAGAAAATGTTATATAGTCACTTTGAATGCTATGTATGCTGACATATACAGTGTCAAAAGATACAGGAAAGAAATACTCACCACTCCTGGAGCGAGGAAAGCTGTCACATTGTTGTACGCAGATAAATCAGTCTATGAAAGAAGAAACATGGTCATATAACAACTTTGACCAGGCTCAAATAAAAAGTAATTTTTATTAAGGTCTTACCTTCCAAAAGTCCTTTTTAACAAAGGTCGCCTGGTTCGAGGGCACTCCTTTCCAGTGGACCTTGCTCCTGGCATAGGCAACTAAAATGCCGTTAATCTCAAACCCTGTGCACTGCAAACCAGCAGAAGAGGCTGCAAGAACCTGCAAAAATGAAGTCTGATGATGCAAAATACAACTACAATGGTATAGTATACACAACACTCAGAGTCAGATTAGCCCCCTAGTTTATGGCCATATGTGAATGTATTTTTTCTGAGACAATTGCAGCTCACTTACCACCCTTCCATCTCCTGATCCCAGGTCTGCTAAGCGACCTGTTCGTCCCTCAAGCAGCTTCATAATGTTCAGTGTCTGATCTTTACTAGAGGGCAAATAAGGAACCTGGGCCACAGTACAAACATACAGTCAGCACACACGACAGGTGTAGAGGTGTACTCCCTTGCTGTGAAATGAAATTGGTAAATAAGAGCTCTTTAATCAGTCTTTCACAGCACTTATTGTAGATAAGTCATTATTAAGTTCTACCGAAAGGCAGAATTACAACTTAAAATATATACTGCAAGACATAAAAATCATTCCTTCTTTTTCATGTGAAGATGTCTCTGGATATGCTTCATACTTCTGAGTGCTACAACCTTGAATCTGATCTCCCACTCACTGTCAGTGGAGCCTTTTCCACAATAACTCTCTGAGTGATACATTCAACAGGCCTCTCTGTCTCTGTCTCTGCTCTGCCTCTCTCTCTATTGATCATAAGCATATAAGTATTAACTTAAATAGCTTCTTTTTGCTTTAAAATGTCAGAACAAATGGAGATTCTTTAAGTAGCAACACATGTCTTCATCATTACCTAACCTCTGATTATCTGCTCCTGATTCTCATGTTTTCTTGTTCATCTTGTACTGGCAGTGAAGAAAAACAGTGCACGATCCATTACGTTACAAACACGGATCTCAGCACCAAATGCACTTCAGAGTAACGCACTGTAGAAGATGGGGCAGTTCTCCATAAAACATAATCACAGTTATAGACTTACCATTTTCTTCCTGTCCCACTTTTGTTGCAAGCACGGAGCACTATGCTCCAAAACAAGCAAATTATTATTAATGCGCAAGTTACGTCTCTGCTTCTTTTTTTTGATTTCTCACAAACATGCAACATTTGATATTTGAAAGGGTGGGAAAGAAGGCTTAGCAGGCAGGTAAAAACAGAAAAAAGGACATCTCTGGCACCTTGAGGCTCCACGGGATTTTGCGAAAGCCAGGCAAAGCAAACAGGCTCCATACTCCATACGCGCCTGTGAGCAGAGCGCCCACGCAGGTTGACAGGACAGGATGGGGTCTGCTGGTAGAAAGGACCCTGCCACGGTCTTGAAGAATTATCTCAATGGAGTCCTCCATAATTGCAAACTGTCACCAATATGATACATATGAAGAATACAGCAGATGGAGGGGGATATTACTACTCTGTAAGGAAATATATCTGAAGAACTCAATCATATACTGGATTATTGATGTCAAGACTGATATTGATATTTGTTTATTTAACAAATAGAAAATGATACAGCAGCATATATGGACACACATAACTATTTTTGTTAAGGATCATTTTGGGACTCAAAATGGGGACATCAACTAGCTAGCTAGCAACCACATTCACAAAAAATAGTGACTTCGACTTACAGAAGTAAAAGCTCTTAAATAAACTTATTTCTTTGATCAATGAGAAAAATGTTAAATTAACTGCTCACACTAGCAAACACTACTGCTGCTTCTGTGTAGACTGAAAGACAATTCACACTACTAATAGTTTATTAGGGATATACAATATGAAATACCCCCCCCTCTACCTAGTCGACTAATATGAACACAATGAATGATTGAAGTGAAACAATTTAGTCTGACATTTGACAGTGTAAAATGAAGAATTGTTTCTAAATTACCTTAATTTCTGGACAGCAATTTAATGTTACGTATTGGTCAACAATACACTGTACACAGAAGCTGTATTGGCAATTATATCGGCCTGGCTAATTTATCTCTAACTCTCAAATTTGCTGCGGATACACAGATACACTGTGATCTTTTGTAAAGAACACGTCAGCATCTATAGGTTTGAAGAGTATGCAAGTAAATTACTGGAGCAAAGTAAGTCTATAAAACAATTACATTTTTGCAAACAAAGAACTTTAAGGTATGAACTATTTTTTAAATGCCATAATATGTATTGAATTTATGCACACAAAAAAGAGAGTGAGGTTGCTCAGGATAAAAATAACCACAGTCTACCTTTGTAAACAGACATAGCTCACTTCAGTATTTGATTTGAGTATTTGATTTATGACAACAGTGTTTTGTTAATCATTTACCACAAGGCAGCCTCTGAGAGCTGCCAAATACATCACCAGATCACCCTTTCCAACAGCAGATGGTGCCACAGTGGCCTCTCTCATACAGAAACCTCTAGAAAAGTTTTGTTTACCACGCTTACTGTAGGTCATGTACTGAAACTATCTGGAAAGGACAGCTCTGTTTATGAAACGACCAAAAGATTATGCTCGCAGTCTCTAAAAGAGGAGCTCCAAAGCAGCAAGCACAACAGATTGTTAGGATTTCTGAAGTGTGGACGAAATCAGAACTCAATATTTTTGTTAAGTAAACAAACGAATGACTAACTAACCTGCTTTTTCACAAGATAGATAGATACACACACACACACAC